CCCCCCCCCCCCCCCCCCCCCCCACACACACACACAAGACACTTGGTTTCCAAGAAACCAAAAACTGTCTGTCTCACTTTATCCATTAATTTTTGGTCATGTGCTCTAAAGGAAAAAGGTTGAAAACAGAGAAACCCAACAACATAAAATAAGAGCTATAATTGTTTTGGGAAAACCTTTAGCCAGTGGTGCCCAATACATCGATCGTGATCTATCGGTCGACCTCATGGCATTCAAAAAATAGACATCAGCCTATCATCCATCCTCACTATGAAAATTATCACGTGATTGACATACAGGGCAGCCAGTCTGAGACCTGACCTTTTCACCATGCATACACATACAACCACGCAAAAAACTAGTAAGCTACCGAGGTGCCTAGTTAGCCTTCAGATTATTTCTTCTAATGTAAACTCAAGAAAGGCTGTAAAATGAGTGAGGGAGCTGGACCAAGTAAGAAGCAAAGCCCCTACCATTTCCATATGGAATGGGAGGAGGACTTTTCTTTTTCACGATGTCATTCGAAGTGCGTTTACCTCATTCGACAGACTACCATTGCTATTCCGAAGAAGGGAAATGTGGAGCGGCATTTTCGGACTATTCATAAAAACTAAGACACTGACTTCCTTCCGAAAAGCGAGCTGAGAAAGAAAAAGGTGAAGGAGGATTTGACCCAGCAACTTTGGAAGGATATCACGGACTGCGAGTGTTTTTCACTGCAATTGGACGAGTACAGACGTTTGGTATTTTTATAGTAGGTGGATCACTTTGACTCGGTCATTTTAAAAGTAGTTTGCATGCTTAAAAAATGTGGGCCCCCCTGCCTTAAGCCAAGCAAAGAATGTTCTTTCTTTGTATTTTTATGCCAGTAATGTAGATGTTTCCTGCCACCTAGTAGTGAAGGATGGATATGTCAGTATTTTTGTTGGAATGTATGAAGAAAAAACAAATATAAACAAAATACACACATAAAAAAAATACCTACAGTAATGTACAAGGGGCTTTAGACAACTATTTTTGACATTAGGGTACAGCATTTGATATTTTCATAGAGATCCTTATAGTTATGGTAAATTCTCCACAATTCCTGAATGATCAGTCTCATTTGTTGCAGATTATTCAGAAATACTTTGTTTTGAATAATTTGATGTAAAACGCTGATTTGTATAAACATAATTCATGTCACTTCTAAACTATTTAGAAAAAATCACACAGAGAAATGCTCCTGACCAATTTCTCATGTGGCTGGAACGACAGAATCAGTCCCCGTGCTCCTCCGTCTCCACCGGCACTGAGATCCCACCTACATCAGGGAAGTGGGATTTAGCTCTGTGCCATACAAACTGAAATCCTGGTACAAGTGTGCATCATCTCTTACAGATGAAACGTTCTTCAGATTGCAGCTTCTGTGGGCTGCAGAGTGGCTTTATTCCCCTCACAAGAGCTCTGTGGGCTGAGTTGGTAGGTCACCTCTTGGTATCAATGAGCGTGGGTAAATGACGAACAGAATCAGAGTGAGCAGTAAAATACGTGTAGGTGTTTGCGTGCTTCACCCTAATAAATTACCTGAATTCAGTCCTCAGCAAAGCAGCATGTGTGAGGATGTGTTTGTGGTGAATGAGGAGTCAGACGTCAGTGCTGTAGGGTCGCGGCGGAGGAGGGAACACATCCATGGGGTTGTAGTAACTCAGAGGGGAGGAAGTGGGCGGGTTTGCAGATTGGGGAAGAGTCACAGACGGGTTTTCATAGTAGGTATGGAAGCCCAGCCGCTCCCCTCCGTTCCCCATGTCTTCTGCGAGTCCAGAGCGGAGGGGGTACGGCGAACAGGTGGGGCAGGGTTTGTTGTGGGAACCCGTGTCCAGCTGGTCCAAAGAGACCGGGGTGATAGGAGTGCCGTCCATGGTGAGGGCGTTGCAAGCGTTGCAGGGGAAGTGAGACAGGGGATCAGCTCCTGCCTCTGAGGCCTTGTCCACCTCCGAATCATTTTTCTTACAGCAGTAATACTGTGGGAACAACACAAACAAAGTCTCAGATAGTTCACACGTTCTTAGTGAAGGCACAAGAGTTTATACTGAAGGAATACTCATAAACTGTAAGAAGTGAGTGGGTTCTAGTTTTCTTCTCTTTTACTTCTCTCACATGTCTGATGATGATCATAAACTTAAATATGCACCGATGATCATTAGATAATCTAATCTAATAAATGTCTATTAAACAAAAAAGGCCATTCTGTGAGTATTTGTACATAAAGTACTCTGATACAACAGTACCACAGAGCTGCACTACTGATGGGCAGAAACAGAACACTGCCACCATGAGCTGGCAGGACTTAAATTATTAAACAAATTTGAATCCACATTTTAATTTGTGAAAGATTTTAACAAAGACAATAAAACAATTTGATCAACTACGCGTGTAGTTTGAGGTTAGCTTTGAGGAAGAATTTTTAGAAACATTGTAAAGGTCTAAATCACAGCTCATTATTTATGCATTTATCTTCTGGTGAATCAAATTTACGAACCTTTAAGAACATTTCCATTCTCGAGCTTGTGCCAGAAATCCCTGCAAGCTTCGAACTTATTTTATTTGTACTTACAAATCAACGCCAGCTTTAACGTTGTACGTACCTTGATGGTTTTATATCACAGTATTTCTAAATGCATTTAATTTTTAAACATTCTAATATTTTTCCAACAAGACAAATGCACAGATTGGATACCTGGAGTCGACAGTAACAGAGAACTGCTACGATGCACAGCAGTATCACCCCAGCAAGAATTCCTCCGGTTATCACGATAGTTCCCGCTGACATCCGACCAGCTTAAAGACAAGACAGAACAGAGGCTGTCAAACAGGGATTTATGAGCATTTATCTACCATTTAGTTGTAATTATAAAGTTCAGAAAACATAAGGAGGAGTTTCTCAGTCTGGTGGCATCTCAAGCCTTCAGGATAAAGATATGGGATAATGTGATTTGCTGGGCCACAAAAACAGGGCTAATGCTCCGTTATTCATTCTGGAAGCCTTTGGGGGGGTGATGAGCAACATTCATCCAAAACATGCCCTCATTCTCTGACACATTGATGACAGCAGAGCACTGCTTCAAAATACCCTGCAGGTGTTCACGTTGAGTTTGGACCTGGTGACTGCGCAGGTCAGAACCACTAACCAGTGAGGGATTGCTTTGGTCGAGCATGAAGGTACCTTGGCTTGCATGTTTGCAATGAGTGACCTGGATCAACAAGCGACATTAAAAGTTGTATTTTTAATCAATTGTGCTCAAATTTCTGAAACAACTCATCACAAACATCAAAGTTCATGCTCAGTCATCCAGGTACAAAATTCAGTAATGGTCCGCCAGGTCATCTGGATAGTTTCTTTTTTTTTTGTGGAAAGACATTTTGCCCTCTATCCAGAGGGCTTCATCAGTCTGAGGAGTCCCAAGTAAACTGTTTTCCCCACTAAGCAGTACACTCTTTTAGTGGACCAACCAGTTTGCTGGTGATAAGATGGTTTCTGGGGGCTGTCCTCTCCCCCGTCGACTCCTCCCAGGCAGGCAGCCACAGCCAAAGTGGTTCAAGACATCAAAGTCCATGTTCCATCCTCCTCTTCAGACTGATTAAGCCCTCTGGATAGAGGGTGAAACGTCAATCCACACACAAAAAAAGAAACTGTCCAGATGACCCGACTGACCATTATTGGAACTCATCATAAATCAACACAGGAGAACTTCTGAAGATTTATGTTCGCATGCACCTCACAGCCGTAACTTCTCTACTTATTTGCTGTAAAAAGACGTCCATTAAAGAAGAATGTTTGACTGAAGTGCACGTTTCAAAATATGAAGCAAAACTAATCCTCCCATCACATTGTTTATGAAACATTAATAATAATGCTGTGGTGATGAATAGCATTGCAGATGATGTGGTCCCGTTGGCGTCATAGTGCCGTGATCTTCAGCTCTCAGTGGAGCGGTTCGCAGCAGAGTGTGAAGCGGCTGGGATGAGAATCAGCACCTCCAAATCTGAGGTCATGGTCCTCTGTTGGGAAAAGGTGGATTGTTTTCTTCAGGTCGAGGGTGAGGTTCGTCCTCAAGTGGAGGAGTTCAAGTATCTCGGGGTTTTGTTCACGAGTGAGGGAAGAATGGAGCATGAGATTGGCAGATTGGTACAGTGTTTGCAGTATTGCAGACTCTGTGCTGGTCCGTTGTGGTGAAGAGAGAGCTGAGCTGTAAGGCAAAGCTCTCTGTTTACCAGTCGGTCTATGATTCTACCCTCACCTGTGGTCACGAGCTCTGGGTAGTGACCAAAAGCATTAGATCGTGGATACAGGAGGTTGAAATGAGTTTCCTCTGCAGGGTAGCTGGACTCTCCCTTAGAGACAGGGTGAGAAGTTCAGTTATCAGGAGAGACTCGGAGCAGAACCACTGCTCCTCCACATCTAAAGGAGCCAGTTGCGGTGGTTCGGACATCTGGTGAGGATGCTTCCTGGGTGCCTCCTAGGGAGGTGCTTCGAGCATGTCCAACTGGGAGGAGGCCCTGGGGAAGATCCAGGACATGCTGGAGAGACTATGTCTCTCTATTGGCCTGGGAACATCTTGGAGTCCTCCCAGAAGAGCTGGAAGAGGTGGCTGTGGGAAGATATGGCTGGACCTCCCTGCTCAAGCTGCTGCCCCTGCGACCCAACTTCAGAACAAGTGGAAGATAATGGATGGATGGATAATAATAATGTATAATCTTATTTATATTTGTTTTTGTCTCAATATCAGTACTGCATGTATTACAGAGTTTTGTCGAGCCCAACACATCAGAGGGAAACATGGAAGAGATAAACTGGATGCTACGACACAAACACTTTCTCAAAGATAACTTTGGAGATCCTATTGCTGAAATCAATCCCAGAAGAACTTGCTGATGTTCTATTGTGTAACTGGTTGGGTACGTATTGTTAACAAATGCAAACATTTACAGCCTCACCTGTAGGCCTCTCAGAAAACCACTGGAAATATTCAGGACTTCAGGACAATCATGAAACTGATTTAAGTCTCTCCAATCTTAACCAACAAAGTCCATGCTCAATAATCCAATCTTATTTCTCCCAACATTTCAACACAGCCAAAGCCTTGAGCATGATCCTGATATTTACCATTTTAAAGTGTTCATTTGCATCTTGTGGGGACAATAAAGTAGAAATAAAAAAGTAAAACACTTGGCCTTTACAAACTCATGCTCAAAAAGCTAGAAGAAAAACTCTTAGCCTGAATAAAGAACAGAACAGCTTTCATTCATCCTTTATTTAAACAGGTTAATCCCATTGAGCCTCGGGCACTCATTTAGTATCCTTAGTTTCTTTACCAAGTTTTCCACGTGGAGCTTAAAAGAGAGATGCGAATCGACCAAGATATCCAAATATTTAAAGTAATCGACAAACTCAATAGGAACACCATTTGAGGATAAAATTGAAGGAAGAGCTGCTGGGACGGACTTCCTGTTTGGAAACAGCATCCCTTTGGTTTTTTCGTCATTTAGTACAAGTCTGAGATTGAACAAATCTGACTGGATGATGTCAAAAGCAGATTGCAAAAGCAGGAAAACCTTAGCAACTGTTTTAGCTCGACAATAAGCAACTGTGTCATCAGCATAGAAATGTAAAGATGCATCAGGGATGAACTGACCTACATTACCTATGTAGATTGCAAAGAGGGTGGGTCCTAAGACTGAGCCTTGTGGTACACCATTGTTCATTGTTAAATAATTGGATATTAGTCCAGTTAGTCATGTACGGTCACATTCTTCTGACCACACAAACAGGAAGTAAGAAGAAATCATGAAGGGTGGCTGAGCTGATCACATTGCTAAACTATTTGTTTTATATCATAATCAGCCAAATTTCAAAGATGAGTTGAGATTAGTTCTCAAACCAGATCATAGAATTAGGAGAATATTAAATCTGGTTGATTCTACCAACAATCAGCATGCTCACTTAAAACACTGAACTTGCATGTAGAAATTAGGAAAAGTCATTTGCAAGCAAAAATGCATGCGTGTCTTGAGCGAAAGATAAAGAAATACTTCTATGGCTTTTTAAGAACAGAGAACATTTTCTTTTGCCTCGTCGTAACAAAAATTGTCCTGTCGTTTGTGCTCATGTTTCAAGATGCAGCTGACTGTTTGTTGCTCCCCCTCACCTGTCAGTTCTTTAAACTGAAAAGCAGCATGAATCCAGCTCTCCTACAACGCAACAGTTTCTGAAAAGGAAAAACAAATGGATTCAGCAGGTAATCTTGCAAGAAGGATCCAGAACAGTCATTGAAGCACTCAAGCAGTTTATGTAGTGAGAATAAAAACAGTAAATCAAAGGGACATATTTTTGTGCTTTGCTCTCGGTGTGGCTCAACATGTACAGAAAAATAGTTTGCTGAGTCGAGCACAAACGTTTAACATGATACAGTTTTAAAGCACATCAAGACGAGACTAAACAGCTGCAGAGAAGAGCTCCAGTCTCTGTGAGGAATAAACGAACCTGTCTGCAGAAGAAGCTGAAACTAAACTATAATTTAAAACTTCCAACAATGAGTCAAAGGAGCCATTCAGTGCATGTCTGTGGTACAAGTAAGTTTATTTGAAGAGCTCAATAAAAGGACAGGTGTGGTGACCAGTTATTGCAAGTTAGCATGACCTGCTAGAGAAAAATAAACTTAGTCTAGATCAAATAATTAAAAATGTTATCAGCTTTTTCTTTAGTATCAGTATCGAGATATTCAAATCAGTTTATTCATAAAGCGCCAAACCACAACAAACTTGTCTTAGGGCACTGCACAGAAACATTCAGTAAAGTTCTCTATCTAAGGAATCCAGCAGACTCGTTGAATCTTGGCTTCGTTGCAGTCTCCCATCCTGGGCAAGCACAGTGGCAACAGTGGAAAGGAAAAACTCGCTTTTAAAAGGAAGAAACCTCCAGCAGAACCAGGCTCAGGACAAGTGGCCATCTTCTTTGACCAGCTGATTTGAGAGGACAGGAAGGAGAGACAGACGAACATAGAATGGTAGGTCCAGGTGTAGGTCCAGGTGTACCTGAGAGACAAAAACATGTTAGGATAGAAAAAAATAATTACAAATACAAAACAGGTTGAGCAGAGTAAGTAAAGACAGTAGTATAGAGAAGAAATGTGGTCAGTTTGTCCTCCAGCAGTCTAAGCCTATAGCAGCATAACTAAGGGACAGCTCAGGAAACCCAAGCCATATAGGATTTATCAAAAAGGAAAGACTTGAGCCCAGTCTTAAAACTGGATAATGTGTCAGCCTCATGGACAGAAACTGGCAGTTGGTTCCACAAGAGGAGCCTGAGAACTGAAAGCTCTGCCTCCCATTCTGCTTTTGGAAACTCTAGGAACCACAAGTAAACCTGCAGTCTGAGAGAAAAGTGCTCTGTTAGGAAAATATGGAAAAATAAGATCTGTAATATAAGATGGAGCTAGGTTGTTGAGAGCTTTGTAGATTAGACATAGGAGTTTGAATTCTATTCTGGATTTGACAGGGAGCCAATGGAGAGAAACTAAAACTGGAGAAATATGATCTCTCTATCAATATGTATAAAATGTAAATGGTATAAATGTAATATTATTCCAACCCAACTCAAGACTTAACACAAAAACCCAGTATCTAAATTTATTCATAAATTGAGTGTCTTATTGTAGTTTTTATATTAAACAATAATTGTAAAATAATTATATTAAAAAAATAAAACTTAAAGGAAACAAAGAAGACATGTACAAAGTAATTCACATAACCTCCTCTGTAATAGCTTATCAG